AATATTGTCTAGTCCTAGGCTGAGAAAATCGTTTAAAATTTTGTTTTCCACATTTATACAAAATTTCGTTACAAAATCTAAAATAATATCACAAGAAACTGAAACAAAAACTAAATAACACTTGGGAATATTATAAAGTAGAAAATTGGGAGATAATTATAAAAAAGGCTAAAAATAAAAATCAAAATAAAAACAATGGAAACAAATTTTAAAATGTTTTTCTAAAGCAAAATTTTGTTGATTACTTGTGGAACATCAAATATTTAAAAAACAGAAGAGTCGAAAATTGACTCAAAAGTGATTACAATATTTGAGACGGAAGTCAAGATAAACAAATTGATAAAAAATATCAAAAAATCATTGGAAATTGGTCTACAGATGTAGCCATTGCAAAAAAAATTCGGTGTCAAGTTACTCAAATGTTTTTGCAAAATTTTGAAAACCCAATTTTCATGTTTTTCTGTGTTTACTGCAGATAGAAATGATAAAATTGTGCAATTTTTCAACAGTTGTAACATAGTTTTAAATTGAAACATCCTGTACAATGTACATTCTTGTTTTTTAGTATTATTTTTAATTGTGATTGTTATTATTCTTAAAACTTTTTTTTTATTATTGATTGTGAAATTCACGTGGAGATAACCGAACGCTTTGCTGTCGGTTCACCTTTTCCATACGAGAGGGAGACACCTGTTCAAAATACCACTAAACAGAAATTCTCGTTTTAATTCGAATTTATGAGTCAAATAAATCGCTGATAATAATAATAATTGTGCGAAATAGTTTATGTAAAGTACCCACCCATTTCACGATGCATTTAATCTAATATTATAATCAGCAATTAGTTCAGGTGAAATTAAGACAACAATCACGTAATAAGTTGCAAGAGAAATGAGTAAAATTTTCGAATTATTTAATCTGATACTTGAGTAGGAGCGCGTATTCTATTTTAACTCCTAACGAGTTTTTTCATTCCATTAAATCTGTTTTTCAGCAACCATTATCGAAATGACTGCGTCTAATTTCGTCTCGTTAACATAAACCAAAAGTAAACGCCTCTTAATTGTGAAGAATCACATCAATTTTTCACAGCAATTTAAATACACCGACGTGATGATGGAATAATTTATTTGGTTGAATGTTGTAGAACGACATGAGTTTTTTTGCGTCGACATGTCTGTCATAACACTTTTTCACTTTCGTTATTTATTTCGTGTGCTTCCGTTCGATTAAAATATCTCGAAAGCGCTGCTCCCTAATTTGTCATAGGGATTAAGTGCATGATTTTCATGGTTGTATAGGACCCTCGCGTAATTTATGGAACGGGGACCGACGTCGACAGCCAACATGTTGGGATTAATCCCATAATTGATTCCGGGAGATCCGGGCAAAAATTGTTTTTAGATTTTGCTCTCGTCGTTGTCGTGGTTGCAGTGTTGCAAAAAACAAAGACGGAGATAAATCGAGATCAAGCACTGAAAGCTAGCTCTAAAGTGAATTGTTCCGCTCCCCGGAGTCGGTTTAATCAGAGGATCCCCCGGAGTTCGCCTCAATTGAACGCGGCTTAATGGAAACGAATAGTGCTCGTGTCGCATTGTTCGAATTATATCTACAATTCAAACCGCACTGCATGATTTCATTATGTGCGCTAATATCGTTTTACCACGATGAATTTATCGGATTATCGAAAGGCAAACTGTTATTGTGGGGGATTTGGGATGATACAACAGACGGGAATTAAGAATAATGAACGTTTCACGACGTTTAATCAAGAGGAAATTCCGAAAATCCGGATTTTTTCACAGAAACTCAACTGTTTTACTGAAAGTTGTTTGTTGCTTTTGAAAATCGATTTTTAACTTTTTATATCAAATATCAAATAACATACAGTGTTTTTCTTACCACAAAAACAATTTCAAAAGAAGCGAAACAACGAAATTAAACGCATTTAATTTTTAAATTATTTTTGATTATGTAAACGTGAAAAGTCTTTGTTTTAACTTCTGAATGAAAAATTTAATTTAGTAAAAGTGCAAAAATTCTATTTCTTGTAAATTATTTACCTTTTTTACATC